AGGTCGCTATGCAGGATCGTGGAAGCAAAAATTAAAGCTAGAACCGATTTTGAAAGCCTTCACGAGGTAAATCAATATGTCAACGATCCTGAAACATTTATGTCTCGTATTTCGCTGCTCAATGAGGTAATCGTTTGTAGAAATTCCCGCCGCTGATCTCCATGACCACTGCCTGCGTGGACGGCCGTCGTGCTCACACCGAGCGATGGTGAGGCCGCTATCTCCCTGTCTACCTGACGCTCTAGAACTCCGCGGGCGTCGGTTGCGGTTGTATCCGATGTGTACGGACGACATCCGTTCGGACAGCTTGTGGAGCGTGGGCCCATCCCTGATGACGACCGCCATGGCCCCTCCGCCAGCCCGAATGACTCCGCCGCGCTCACACCAGGCACGGACAGGACTACCGGTCTACCAGGCGTTCGTATGACAAGTGGCGGCTGGCTCACCCGCCGTTTCGCCGGACTCCGTGGTGGTCGTCCAGGGGCGCAATATTTGACACTGTCGTGGAGTGGGCGTCGGCACACCGGGCGGCCGCGCTGGTGCTGCCAGTGTCCACACGGGTCGGCAGTCGCGTGTGTGGCGCCGACGTACGAGTCGCTGGCGGACCTGCACCGCGCGGGGGCGATGTCGCCTTCCGCTGCCTCCGCCACTTCCACGGCCTTCACGAACAGATGAAGGTCACATGTACTTGCCATGCCCAGATATATTAGGCGCACGAGCAGGCAACTGGACAGGTCAGGGACTGGTCAGCCAGTTTTTAGTGAGCGGAATGTTGACATGTGAGCGCTCAAGGCCACCTAGTTACTTACATAACAATGATCATGGCAGCAAAAACAGGAATGGTATATCCGACCAACGGACCGGTCCGGCGGACCGGACTTCTAACGGCTCACAGGTGCTTCTTGGCAGGAGGCGCAGCCTTCTCTGTCCAGTGCCCTTCGGACGCGGTGACTTAGAACACGAGCGAACACGGTGCCGCAGCAGACTGTATTGGCGGCCACGAAAAACAGCCCGGTCGGTGGTCATGATCGTCCAGTATATCGAGTATCTCGATGCTGTCGGTGCCATGCATGCCATCGGCACCCGCTGACTGACTGTAACCCGCAGGCGGAATGGATTGGGATCCAGCTTTGTTATCCAGCAAAAATTTCTGCACGAATAGGCACTTACCATATACTTTTGGGAGTGCACTGCCGACAATTTAGTCGCAAAACGCACAGCCACCAGCACTGCCACTTTGAGTTTTGCTCAGTAACAAACACACTTTTAGGAACAGTGTGTTTAATGATCTGTGTGTGAACTGCATTAAGAAGAGACAACAAAAAATGTCAGAATTTGGACACAACATTGAATGTAATGTGTGCTGCAGAGAAGAAGCAGCAGACTGTACATTGTATGGGATTTGTCACTTACATAAATACACAATCCAGTAACCATGCAGGAAGCTATTTCAACAGAAACTAGCCATTGCCATATCTCTAATGTACAACCATGAAAAGGCACTCAGCTGGTGAAGCTAAATACATTAAGTTAGACACCTCATTAAGAAGTTGAAAGACGCCTTCAAACATGAAAAACCTCGGGAGAATTGACCCCAACTAGACCGTAAGTGATCTATTGAAAGGGAACGATGCTCCCTGATTCGCGCCTGCGACCGCCACCGTCGCAAGCAATAACCATAACACGAAAAAGCACAAATCTATGGTCAATGGCGGATATCTATGACTCGCACAGACCATGCTACTACGCAATATATCCAACGAAAGCCATATAGTAACGAAGTATTCGCCACCAACACCAAATACCGACCTCCTCCAACCAGCTAACCCGCACAGAGGCTCGATTTATTTACCAAGATGGTGGCGGCTTCCACGCACTGGCGGACAGCTGTTATCCTATCTAGTCCTGTTTATCTATGAGGACTCAATTCACTTATGAAACTGTAAAACGCAGCAGTTAATTTTCCTCTCTTCATTCCAGTCTCGTCTGTGTGCCTAAGCCTGCACAACCTCGAACAAATCGGAAGACCTTGAGCTTGACACCAATGTGCAGCCCATGATCTGTTCAACCATGGCCATTGAGAACATTCTCCGTTTCTTTGCACCACCGGCGTATGCAACGCATTATTTGCTGTAGTAGCGCCAGCTTGAGTGACTGAGTGACGCGGCCGCTATCCACGCATTTCTGCCGTCCACTGCATATTCAGCCCGTGCGTGAAAGTACAGACCATTGCCGGCAGGAGTGTGTTCACTTCATGTCCCAAGTCAGCGCGCTGAGTCCCCGTGTTATTGGTGGTGCCACTTTTGCACGTGGAGTGCGAGCTAAAAGTGACCATGACTGATGGAAAAATGACGCACGCGCTGACGAACACGCCTCTGCTATCGCCTGCAACATCTGTGGGACAGAGCCAACGCAGATGCACGGCAGCGATCATGTCAGCAGCAGGTGCAGGTAGTCAGATGCGTACCAATTTTAACTGTCGGTGATGCATGCCTGGATTAGGTTATTCGAGCTAGTTTCCCTCATTAGGTACCGTATGAAACTGCAGGTATGGTCCGGCCGAGAGAGTCGTAAAGAGGCGTTTCTGGCCAATAGAAAACAGCGGATACAAGCAGAGTTCCGCGGGAAGGTGAGGCTTGAGGATGAGCCGCGAGCGGAAGAGACGGGCACGTCAAACGGCAGAAGCACGGCAAGGCGGTGTTCGCAGACTTGCACCCGCTCAGCAACACTAGCGGTGTTGATCTGGTCCTCATAGCAAGGTTTTCGGTTACGCTGCGTGCGCTCGTCTCTGGCAAGCCTGTGGATGCCAACAAGTCCCATCTGGTTGCCCGAGAAACAGTCATGGTGTACCCCAGTCTGTACCCGTGGTATGACATGCCGCTATCCGTCCAAAAACTGGTTATGCACGGCGCCGAGGTGATCCGCTTGCTTCTGATGTCAGTCGGCGCATACAGTGAGAACGCTCAGGAGCCATGTTACAAACACAAGTCGTATGGACGGAATCCTCGCTGAAAACGTCACGCGTTGACACTATAACCGATGGGTTTGACTTCCTTTGCATCCCGTGCGATCACGTGATCAGCAAAATCACTCAGTGTGATGTTCACACTTAGCGGTGGGTGCGATCCAGCGAAAGCAAAGAAGGCGGTGACGATCTGGAAGTGCTCCTCCTGATACCTGATGCGTCTCCTGACCAATCGTCTTCAGATGACGATGGCCCCTGTAGTTTTACTTCCACATGTGGTGGCGCATCTGACGTATCAGACGCATGTGACATGACAGATGATGGTAGCCTGGTAGAACCTGGTGATGCCTCGTGCAACTTGCCCGACGATTTCTACGAACGGCATTCATAGCAGTATGTATAGGTGATCGTGTAATTCAGGGCAGGAGCTCAGGAGGTCCACAAGCCATTTTCTCCAGGCCGTGTCGATTATTTGGAAGTGTTCCTCTATTACGTGTGCATGGTATGTCGTGACGTAACGTGGTGGATTGTTTGCGACGCATACTTTGGTGCAAATAAGCAGAAAAGTGCATTTTTGTACTACCGACATACCTTGATGCGTAAATGAGCAGAGTAAATGAGCAGAGCAGAGCAGAGCGTCAGCAGACAGCGGCATTGCAGCAGCAGCGTCAGTACAGTTTACTTAAGTTTACATCAGTTAAGTTTACTCGTGAGATCACTCGTTTATGGAATAATTACCTGCATAGTGCAGCACAACAAAAACCTAATGGCAGTCATCAGTTTGATATAGTGATACGCCAACTACTATCAACGAGCCTGTATATATAAGTCTGAAATAGCAGTTTTCAATGTGACTTGCGTCACAACTGCAGCCACAAAAAGCTAAGAAACATATAGATGGTCAGTGATGCAGGATTACCTTGTTTAAGGTCATTGCTATATTTTTTAATGAAAATATATACGAAGCATACGCTAAGACTCAATTAATTCTCTTTTACCCGTTGGAAAGTTTATAAACGTAAAATGTAAATGACTTAAACTTCTGAATTTTATCACTACTATTAGACTTCGTTTGACCTCATTTGAATGCCTTTAACACAATGCTGATTCAACAATCTTCACTCGCTCGATGCAGCACAACGTAAGGATTCATCTGGTGCTTGTTGCATTGCTCCAGGCTGCCTCGTTTAGGAGTTATGAATTTTTTACCGTTGCGCAGCCGTACTACAGCACTATGCGGTGGTTGCCAAGATATCAGCACGGGATGGCCAGCAGAGGCTGCGTAGTATAATTGGCCGCCACCGTGGTCTGCCGGCTGTGAAACAGCTTAGCGACGACCGCGTACCACAGACGCACGTGCGCGGTCAGCCATTTTGTACAAATATTGCTGATGGCAGCCGGGAGATCCAAAATCAACGTTTCATCGCGGAGCAAAAAAACGCAATTCAACCCATAGCTTGAGTTAATTTATGAGCAAAATTTTGCGAATAAAACTTAAAAAGAGAATGACTTAGCGAGAAATGAATCGTCAAACAAACTGGTGTAGTCTTTGTGCCAGATAATCTCAGTCTCCACGACAGCGAATTCTATTTAGAGCCAGATTTGAAACGCCGCAATTTGCCTGGCAATTTACGGCGCAACCATTCGTCACATTAGGTAGCATTACGCCTTGAATTGTAGGTGGTACATTTATGAACGTTGGAAAACTTAAAACACGCGCTTACCTGCACTGGATACCAAGATCCGACACAAAACGTCAAACTGTAAAAAAAACGGCCAATTTCATCTTTTGAACTCGTGTGGAGGTGCCACGTGACACCACACTTGCAAGCACCTGATTTCCCATTCGATTCCCTACCTGGATGTGCAGATGTTGTGTCTCTCCACCGATCATTGTCGGCATAACGGTCCGGAAGTCGCCTTCCCGGCCCTCGACCAATTGGTGGTAAAATTACAAACGTCGTCACGTGACACTACCAAGCGTCAGCTGGCGTGCGGCGCGTCTCGGCTCTCCACTGTGTTCGTTGAGGTCGGCGCGAGAGGGAGCTCGCGCCATGATCGGCGCTGTGGTATCGCTGCTGTGCCGGCTGCTCGGCTGGCTGCTGAGTCCCGTGTCGCTGGCCGTCCTGGCCGCCACCCTCGGCGCCGTCTACTACTTCCTCACCAAGGACTACGACTTCTGGCCTTCACGCGGCGTGAAGGGGCCACGCGCCAAACTGCCCTGGGGTAACGAGTTTGGTCCTCCATTTGTGACGTCGATGCTTGACTTTGAAGAATGGATCTACTACAAGCATGGTGGGAAGAAGTACTGTGGATACATGGAGTTGCACCGGCCCATTCTGTACATAGGAGATATGGATTTGATCCGCGCTATCACAGGGAAGGATTTCGAACACTTCACCTCTCGAAGGGACGCATTGGTAAGCAAGCTGTTTGACGGCACGCTGTCGCTGGCAGATGGCAAGGAGTGGAAAGACCTCAGATCAGTGTTGGCGCCGAATTTTTCTGCAAGCAAGATGAGACTAATGCATCAGCCGAGCTTGGAAAACGCCATCAACCTAAGCGAGTTCTTGCTGAAAGAAACCAAAGAGAGGGGAGATGTCGAACTGCTGGATGCATTTGGTCGCTTCACCATGGACAATATTGCTTCGTGTGCTTTTGGTGTTACCTGCAACTCTTTTAAAGATCCGAACACAGAGTTTGCAACACATGCGGCTGAACTGTTTAAGCCACCAACAGGGTACACATCATTCCGCTTCGTTGCCTCTTTGCTGTTCCCAAAGTGGCTTTATGACAAACTTCCGGATCCCGACGAAGCAACAGGTGCCTTCTTCAGACGAGTCGTCAACATGACCATCGCATATCGAGAAGAGAATGGCTGCTCTCGTCGAGACTACCTCCAGATGCTGCTGGAGACCAAGGACAAGGACGGCAACCGCGTGCTCACAAATGACAGCATCGTCGCGCAGTCGGTGTTTTTCTTCGTCGCCGGCTATGACACGACGGCTTCACATCTGACCTACGCTGGGTACTTGCTGGCCACCAATCCCGACTGCCAGAGGGCTGCGCAGCGAGAAATCGACGACGTGCTCGAGCGGCACGGCGGCCAGCTGACCTACGAAGCAGTCTCCGAGATGACCTACATGGACCGCGTGCTGAGCGAAACACTGCGGATCTATCCGCCTCCACACCATCTGGAGCGTACGTGCACCAAGGACTACGTCCTGCCGGGGACGGACGTGCACATCCCGCGTGGCACCCTCGTCCAGATGCCGATATTGATGATCCATCGGGACCCGGAAATTCATCCGGATCCGCTGCGCTTCGATCCGGATCGCTTCCTGCCGGAGGAGAAGGCGAAGCGCCATCCGTGCTCCTACTTGCCATTCGGCAACGGACCGCGCAACTGCATGGCCTTGCGGTTCGCGCTGTTCGAGGCCAAGGTGGCACTCATTGCAATTCTGCGTGAGAGCAACCTGAGGCCAGGGCCGCGCACGCCGCCGCCGCCCATGCCAATGAATACGACCGGTTTCTTGCTTTCACCTAAAAAGGGCGCCTCCTATGTCAAGGTGCTGCCCCGCCGCGAAGACTAGCAGGCAACAGAAGGGCGGTTGTTCTCGATAGTTTCCCACCTCGGGGAGCAGGCGCAGACAGAGAGAAAGAGAGAGAGAGAGAGAGAGAGAGAGAGAGAGAGAGAGAGAGAGAGAGAGAGAGAGAGAGAGAGAGAGAGAGAGAGAGAGAGAGAGAGAGAGAGAGAGAGAGAGAGAGAGAGGGAGGGAGGGAGGGGGGGGGGGGGGGAGGGGCGGGGGAGGGGGAGGGATGGGAGCGAGAAAGGAGGAATATTTAAGTTTGCACGGCTGGCTGTGTGTAGCCGCTTGTCCTCGTAACGACGAAAGTCTCGGATATCACGTGTATTCTGGCACCAGAAAGTGCATTGTTACTGTTGAAGTGATCCGCATAGGATTTACCCACAGAACCTAGAAGGACGGGAGAGAGCATTAATTCCAACGCTATTACTTCTATGCGTGTACTAATTACTTAAAAATATTTTTTACCAGGGGCTTAGTCCGGGTGGTCAAGTAGTCTTGGTAGCGCGGGAAGTATAGTCCATTCGGCCCGGGAAGGGAAGGGCGACTTGGGCTGCAAACCGTTCCCCCCCCCCCCTGCCCGCACTTTGAGAAGAAGCTGTGCCAAATCTGGGGAGAAGCTCGCTTGTTGGCTGTCTTTAAGGGTAGGTTGTACCAGTTTTATTTTCGTTTGTTTTCAAGCCGGCAATTACGTGATATTTCTTTTGGATAGGAGTGTTACCGATTCTCATCAAGCAAACAATGCAGGGGGCAAAAATTTCCAGGGCTTGGACTGCTAATGCACTTGTGTGCGAGCCGGTCACAGGCATGACAAATTTCGCGCACCTAGTACTGTCATTTAATACTGCATACACAATAAATATACCAAAATAACTGCGTACTTCAAAGCTCTCCCGATAACTGCCTTTAATTCGTTGGCCAGGGTCCCCTCTACGCTTTCTGGGCTACTTTGATGACTTGCATGGGACATCAAGACGTATTTGCTCACTCTTCTCACTTCGATTATGCGTCAGCCTTTAATCTGTGCACCAAAATTTCGAAATATCCTGGGAAAGACAAAAAGCAAAAAAGGGTAGCAAATGGTGATGAACGCTTATGTGGACGACAGCTCATTGTGAGATTTAGGTGACGCAATGGATGTTACCAGTGCATGTTACCACTCTGTGCCACGCGGGTGTGATGTCAACCTTAGGGGGGGGGGGGGGGGGGGCAGGGGGAAAAGTTCTCCCGTGTAGCTTGGTTTTGAGCTGAACTAGGCATTTGGGGATCATTCGGTGCAGTTCACAGCTCTGCTTTCTTAAGGCCTAAAACGTCCTAGTTTCGGAGCTACACGCCCGCGAAGATGTGCAGACTCTTGCAAGGTCATTCAGGCATGCATGGCGCCACAGCAACATCATCAAAATCCTGCCAAACCACGGGCGAGGCGGTGTTTAAGGCCAGGGAGAACAATACCATCCAGCCGTTCAGATCTGGCGTCCGTGAGCGAAATTTCCAAGTAATGTGAACCTAAATTGGTTATAAAAAATGCTGAGCAAGCTATGCAAGCTCCAATCACGAACACGTCTGCGCTAACTTAAATAAAAGTTGTACATGTTTTTTGCGGGTTAGTTATTACGGACATAAGACTTAAAATACAATAACCGAAGAATAACTCCATAGCCTAGTGTGTGAATACAAGGAAGCATATCAAATTCATGGATAGACATTCAAATTCATAGATAGCAAAAACACCACGAGAAAGGACCATACGCCTGCACATAAAGACATTTGGCTCAGCAACACTTCCAGCTCGTGGTACCATCGTCCGACGAGTTTGGAGTACTGCAAGTCAGTGGTCAGTTCTCACGACTTTTTCAGAAGTACCTAAACGTCGTACAAACGTTCCATGATGCGATCAAACAATGAAATATTGGGGAGCGTGTTTGCCAAATAGAGAAACGTTGTTGTCAACAAAAGCATTTTCCACTTCCAAGCACCTCAATGGTAATAAGTGAGCTCATTTCATCATATCCATTGCTTGCTTCAAAATTGTTGGTATATTTTTGCAGAATTCTTTCTTTTGTGCATGTTTGATTAAAAATGACTGCTGGCCTAGCATTGATGAGCTTTTTTACCCATTGTTCGAGTTTCCGGTTTTTTTACTTAGTCATTATCGTCATCATTATTGCTTGCCATAATGTGCTATCGTAGTGCATTGCATTATCGTTTAGATCAAAGGCAGTTCGTATGAAATAAAATATTTGTTAAGGCCAAGTATTCGTCAATCTGTACCTTTTTACCCTTACTCAACACGTATAGATATATAATATATACTTGTATACAATGATGTACAAGTATGTAATATACAATGTGCTTATATATATATATATATATATATATATATATATCTCTCTCTCTCTCTCTCTCTCTCTCTCTCTCTCTCTCTCTCTCTCTCTCTCTCTCTCTCTCTCTCCCTCTCTCTCTCTCTCTCTCTCTCTCTCTCTCTCTCTCTCTCTCTCTCTCTATATCTATATCTATATCTATATATATATATATATATATATATATATATATATATATATATATATATATATATATATATATATATATATATATGCATATTGGGATCGGAATCCAAACTTCCAATCCCAATTTTCTTGCCACACGCGCCAGTCTCGGTCCAAGGGAAAGTCTGCGTCGTCTCCCAGATTCCGTCCCCATCGATGCCTGGCCTCGGCGTCGCGCCGACGATGTGGATGGAGCAGTTCTCCGCTGTCTAGGCCAGTACCTCCTCAAGCTCGGCCATAAACTGCCCCGTGGGTCACCATCGCTCGTGGGTCACCGAAGCATCCGTCGTTGCCTCCAAGCTACAGTATGACGGAGACTGGTCGGTCCCGCTCTCGCGCCGTGTCGGGTGGAACTGCAGAGACCTGGTGGGGCCAGACGGACCAGACGGGACTGCCAGTGTCGGGTGGAATTGCAGGGACCTGATGGGACCGGACGGACAAAACTTGGGACCGCGCGGGACTGGGCGGAACACGGCGGGGCCAAATAGGACCTGACACGGTGAAATGTGATCGGACAGAAAGGGGCGTGACCAAAGGAGCCATGTACGGGTCGCTAATGTAAAAAACCCATCTCATAAAAAGATGCGGACTTTATCTTAACATATTTTTAATCAGGTTCGCAACTACACCCTTGAAGGCTTGCTTATACCTTATGCTTATCACAACTTACCCCGGTTGAAGTTTTGCCGTATATAAAAAGCTTAACACACGTTTTTGTATCCAATTGCGCAAAAATGAATGCCCCAGATGACACCGAAAATTTGGGTTCCAGCTCACGACGTGACAGAAGGACATTTGTGAGAGACCTTAGGAGAGGGGGGGGGGGGGTCGTATCCCGCTCAGGGTGAGGGTTAAAAGTATACCACGTATTCTAGTATACCACGAATTGTCAAGGTCAGAAACCTAAAACTTTCAAAACATGCGTTGAAACTAAATGCACCCAGCAAGCCGAGATACCAGCACCATACTCAAAAGCGCTCAAAAGTTAATGCGGGAAAGTTGAAGTGAGGCCTTCGAGGCCCCAATCGTGCGGTGAAGTTTAGCGGACACGAAAGTTAAAAACGTCTCGTGCAGGGTGGAAACGATGCGTCCATACTACATTAATTCATGCATAAAAACGACAGGTAACATAGCCAAAGGTATTAATGCATAAGACTCACCACACATTGGAGATCAACAACGTGAAGTTTGGCACCGGTCACGCATGGCTTTCACCCGGGGCACTCGTTACGGTACGTATTCCAAACGAGCTCATTTTCGAAGCAGGCAGAGGCGTATGGATCCTGATATCTTACCGATAACCCTGACGTGAGCCCTCGCGTGATCGGCAGCCTCTTTCAAGTCATAGCTACTTCGAGGACTTTTCCTGTAGAATTACATTTTTAAGAACCTCCATAGATAAAAGCTTAGCGTGGTCAGATCTAGAGAGTCAGCAGCTCGCGCGAGCCGGGTTGTCCGACTTTCAGCTGATGATGCGCTTTTCAAAGTGGTCCTCCAGGTAGGCTTGGGCAATCTCGTGCCGAGATTCCCCGCCATACTGAGATCACATTTGCTCCCCTTTTCCGTCGGGCTCTTACTCTGTCTGCTCCAGTTGGCTCCAGAAACGCTCCAGCATGCCGACATGCCGCTCCTTACCCACCATGGCCGTGGAGCCGTCCGCACGTTGGGAAAATGCCCCATGGGGCACCTTGAACTCGTGACGCACTACGGGCTCTCGCTGTCGGGCTGTGGAACGGCTCTCCAGCACAGTGTCCTGCTGCTTTGAGCCTAAAGTCGACAGCATGGATGCTCACTTCCCCAATCAGATCGCTCAGCCAAACACGGTTTAGGAAGCAATTTATGATCAGTTTGAGGTTTGTTTTCAGTTAGGTATCAAATACCATCCGCGGATATTTATGGCCTACCAGGGACTGGCTTAGGAGGAAACAAATATGATCTGTAGCAGCATGGGGGCCTAGTGGTCAGTCCACCACAACCGGTTCCGGTCAGGTACACCGTCAGACAGGTGTGGGATCTGCCGGTAAAATCCTACGAACCTTGTAAAATGTGCCCAGAAACAACGCAAAAACAGTGCGTGGAACGTCACAAGTCTCTGCATGCATTTCCAAGGGGTCAGTTCCGTCGCTCAGGGAAGCAAGCCCGCAATCACTTGTAATGTATTTATTCATAAGCATGGGACGGAAGCTACCACAAGCGTCCAAAGATCAGAGTCCGACATCGCCTGCAAGAGGTGTTATTTTCCCATCTAAACCTGTACCTCGGACACGCTGCGTGACCTGCTGTAATTTCTCCGATTTTGTCGGTGCGAAAATCCGCGCCCATTTGCCAGCCCGCCCGCAAATATGAGCTAGATTTGAGTTAGAGCCAGATAATTATGAGTTAGATCAGTCGCATGAGTCTGCCAAACGTCCACCGAGGCACAAATATGCATGTGGCTGCGCATGCGCAGTTGGTGCAGTCACAAGGGATCAAAACAATTGTTCTGACATAAGAGCACGAAACACACGACTACGTAACGTTACGCTACGACGTTACGCAT